AGTATTAATGAGTCAACAATCGAGAGTAAATAAGATATATTTAAACAGAACCACTCATAAAACACAGTTTGTTTGCATCAGTTGGAGAGAATGTGGCCAGGGACTAGAAGGAGCCCTACCCTCTACCTCCCGGGAGCAGGGGCTTGGTGTTGCCTGATTCAGTGTCTCGGGCTTCGAGGACTCAGAGGACATAGTCACCATGAATAACTGGACTCGACTGCATCGACTGATGCCAGTAACTTGTGTTCTTCTTTTTTTTTTTTTTTTTAGATTTATTTATTTATTTATACAAGCACTGGGTACAGTCAGAAGCGCGGGAGGGTGAGAGAATTCACCAGAGCCAGAGCGGGGAGCAGAGCAGGCAGACTGACAAAGTACACTGCTGAGGGGAGCAGCGGGCGGCAGGAGAGGTCTGCGCTCCATGTGGGACCCTCCTCCGGTGGCTGGGGAGCAGCCGGGGAGCGAACCGGCGTCGCAGAGGCGGCGGGCAGCTTCGCAACCCAGCGCTCAACCGCTGAGCCACCAGGGAGGCCCTAACTTGTGTTCTTCTAATGACACAATGGATCTTGGATAGAAGACTGTCTAGGCTGTTGATAGGTTGAGAGTTGAGCTTTTGGAACAGTGGAGAGTTAGATGTGGGAGTCTGGGAGTTTGCCAGCTTGGACTATGATGCAAATTCATGTTTCATTCTCAGGGGCAAGGGGTCCTTGAGAGGTTGAGGCACCTCAATACTTGTGAATAGGGAATTCTGAGGTATGTCCAGCAAAAACTCAAAATGAAAAAAAAAAAAGGTGTCTCTGATTTTATATGCAGTGCTGTACAAGGCTGAGGTGTCGAAAATGGAGAGGCACTCACAATAGCCTAAATATAAGAAAGGTCAGTTCATTTTTATTTGACCAGTGTTGAAAAATAGTGGGAACTGGTCGTCTGCTCTGTAAATCTGGATTTGCATTTTATTCTTCCTCCTTGGACACACTGGTATTGGTGCAGGTCCATGATACGGTTACTTTCCAGGGGCACGGTAGGGAAATGGGTGAATCCAGGCAGCAGTAGGGATTTCACGCCAATGTTGGGCAGCTTCTAATAAAGACCATGAGATGCACTGTACCTGTAGTGTGGTTTTGCAGCTTTAAGCCAGTCAAGATGCCCTTGACTGGCACGTGGTCAGTTCATATGCTGTATGAATCTGCACGTTTACAAGGACACCTCAGCGGGGCGTGGTAACAGAGGGTCTTGGTCACTGTAAGGTGGCACCCTCCCCCCACCCCACTCTCTAGCAGCTCCTGCACCAGCCTGGTCAAGAGGAGTGAACATCACATCCCTGGCACCCCCTTCCCACTCCCTCTGGGGCTGAGAAGCTCCATAGTCAAGCATTCTAGCATCAGAAAACCTAAGTAGTTGAGGTGAGCACTCACTGGAGATCCTATCCAGAGTGGTGCCCCTCATTCAGCACAGGATAACAGGGCCTCAGGCTTCCTGTTGAAGGCAGACACATACAGGGGTCAGAGTTGAGTTGGTGCCCCTTGTTCTTGATGCTGAATGTGCCCCACCTGGGAGGATAAGAGACTGGTGGCTGTTTCCCCCCAACCCCCCAGGGTTTCACAGCGAGCATCATGCCCTTACAGGAGGGCACACACCTGTGCCAGCTTACCACTTTCTTTAGTTTTCTAGGACGTTGACAGACTGGCCACGGAGCTCCTGGGTTTATGCTTGAGGTCAGCAAGCACCTGAAAGAAACCTAATGGGATTTTACACAAAATACTCAATTCTCTGGAAGTTTCTTAATTCTCTGGAAATTCTCTGGAATTTCTCTGGAAATTTCACACATTTGGCCTTCTAATGAATTTTCAGGAATGGTTTTGTGTAGAAGGAATTGTGTATAAGCCTTCTCCTGACCTCATGCCTGGCACATCAGACCATGATGAGGAGGGTCAGCTTCCATGCCACACAGGCCTGGGAAAGGACAGGCTGGGCTAGCAGAGGGCTCATTTGTTTGGGTTGTGTCTTTGGTAGTATGACGACTGACAGAATTTTTTTTTAAAGATTTATTTATGCATACAAGAACTGGGGTACAGGCCAGAGGTGTGGGGGGTGAGAGGATTCCCCAGAGACAGAGTGGGGAACAGAATAGGCAGATCTACTGAAATACACTGCTGAGGGGAGCAGCGGCGCCATGTGAGTAGCTCCCTGGCTGGGGATAGAACTTGTGCTGCAGTGGCTGCGGATAGCTTCATAGGTTGTGTCTTAACCCCTTGCGCCACCAGGGAGGCCCCTGAAAGACTTTTTTAAAGACTTTACTTAAGTAACATGTTTGTAAAAATGTTTGTAACACTCTCCCCCAGGGCTTTCTAATCAGCTCGCCTGAGGGTCGTCTGGCTTTCGGGGACTGGAATCGTGTTTGACTAACAATCATTGAGACCCAGATCTGAAAGCATGTATCGGACTTTTGAATAAGGGCTAACTGCTGTCTAGCAATGTGGCGCACAACTGAAGGTGGTGAGCAATTCAGACAATAAGGTGCAAACTTGAAACTATCATTTACTGACGCTGCAGTTGTCCACGGGGGTGGGGTGGGGGGCTGACCCCCCATCCAACACCCACCCTGTTCTGGAAGCCCCAAGGCCTCAGGACCCGTGGAGCTGTGCCCGGTCCTCTCCTCTGTGGTCTCCCTGCTCGCTCCACTGGCAGGCCAGGCCGTCGGGTGTGAGGTTTCTTCCCGGTTCCTGCTCAGGTGACTCCACGCCTGTGTGGTTACAAAGGCAGCTCTGGCGTGTTCCCAGGTTCCCGGGAGGAGAGGGCTTGTCTCCCTTAGAAACGCTCGGGTTCCGCCGGTCACCTGTGTCCAGGGGTGGGGGCCGCGCAGGACGCGGGGCTTAGCGGTGGTTCTGGTCGCCTTTTCTGACCCAGAGCTCGGGGAGAGGAAACCTGGCCCCGCAGTGAGCCCGGAGACCTGGAGCCCAGCCTCAGCGCCGCGGAAGCCCTGCTCGCCTGGGCACCGGTCCTCCCGCTGCTGAGGACGCCAGTGGGCGCGTCGGCCGCTGGTGGCGCCTGCGCAGGCGCGTCTCACGTGTGCTGACGCGGCGGCGCCTGCGTGACGCTGTTCCCGCGCCAGCGCGTGGCGGGCGGATGGCGCGGTGCTGCGACCCGTTCCTCGACGCGGGAGACGGGAGACGTGGCCTGGGGGCCGGACCGCGCGCCCCTGGGCCAGAGCCCGCCCCGCTGACTGAAGGGGGGTGGGGAGAGCGAGCCGGGACGGGGCTTCCCGCGCGCACCAGACTTTTACTCAGAAGCGCTGAGAGGGACGCCCTGAGGGCCGTGGCCGGGAAGAACGTGTGCGACGCCAGGGCCTCAGCTGCCCGCGCCGGGGGAGCCCCGCTGGAGTGGTCGGCGGCTTCGTGGCAGTTACCGGAGCCAGGTAGCCGGCCCGGAGGACGCCGTGCGTTCGGCTCTCGGTGTAGGGAGCTGCTCCGGGCGCTGAGATGCTGTCCCTGCGCCGTCAGGGCCCTGCGCTGTGTTCCCTCAGAAAGCAGACACCGGCGAGAGCCTCTCCGTTCTTGGCGGCCAAAGGCCCCGCGCCGCGCGTGAGGGCCGGGAAGTGGCGCGTCCTCACCGCCGGCAAAGGCACGGGCCAGGCCTGGTGCGTGGGCCGGGAAGTGGTCCTGACGGTATGGACGGCTGGAACGGGCCAGCCGGGAGGCGGCATGTGGACGCGTGTGCATCTGGGCCTTGGGATGCCACCAGGGAGCCCGGCTTTTGCCTAAGTGACAGTGTGGCGGGAGCGTCAGAAGGTGCGCTGTGACCCTCCCCAACCCCCTTCCTGGTTTCCATCTTCAGCGTAACTTTCCGCTGCTTCACGTCCACACTCTTTCCTCAGTTGCACTGAAGTTCGCTGTTCTGGGAGAGTTGTGGAGGGAGGCAGGTCGGGTGCTGTGGCCTTCACCTTGTACTCCCCTTGGAAGGCTTTGCGTTCCATATCTTGAAATTCCATTCCCTTGCCTGGAAAAAATAATCAAATACACCCCGTAATTCTGTTCCCAGAGAGGCATTCTTGTCCTCATATTGGTCAAAAAGGGACAGGCCTCTGTGGAAGGCCAAACTTACCTCCAGCATGGAATGCCCCTATATTTTAGTAGCTTTGGAATGGATACCTATCGTTTATGCCTTAATTCTCAACATCGAGCTACCTGGAAGAAGCATGTTATCGGGGGTTAAGGGGGTCTGAGGAAAGGAATGTGGGCTGGCAGGGAAAATACACAACCATTGCTTGAAATACAACAAAACAGCACGTTCTGTTCTTCATGAGTCATGTTCATATTTGAGGGTGACCATAAGGTGGATGAACAGTGACCCAGGGATGGGCTGTGATACAGCAGAACCCCTAGAGATGCACCTGCCTGTCCCAGCATGCATTCCCCTCACTTGAACGACGCTACCTTGCTCCCATGTCAGCATTTCAAGTGATCGTATTTCTGGTTATCACTGGGTTTAATGAAACATTACCAGAGAAAAGAGAAGTCCCTGATGGGATGTACTTAGATATACTTTGTAGATGCTGCTTGATCTTCTGCAAGAGGTAGTGGGTGATTTAGAGTTTATAAGGGGTAGAAAGTAAACCAGACTAGTCACCTCCCTGCTTTCAACTATTAAGATTAATCAAGGGCTTTGCGTTTGGATTTTACATTAGTAAAATAAAATCTCAGCTCTTGGGGCCCTGTAAGGGCCTCTCACCTGGCTGGAGCCCCGCCTGCTCCCCTCCTGCTCCCACTCATTGTGGCCCTATGTTCCTGATGCTGGGTTGCCCTCAGCTGTCCTGACTTTTGGTAAATGCTGACTGTTCCCCTTACCCTTGCCTCTGGCCCAAGGCAATTTCCTCTCATTCTTTAGGCGAGAGCTTCCTTTCACCTCCTCGGAGAAATCTTCCTGCATGATGCCAAAGTGGCAGCCAGCACCTTGTCTCTTTAAAATACACACACTGTCATCTGCAACTTATTTAATTAACATGTTTGTATATGTTTTGACAAATATTTTAATATATATGAAGCCCACTCATTACACCCTGTGAGGGAGGTGATACAAAATCCCCCTTTACAGGCAGACGTATGGGGTGAAGTCACTTCTTAGGATCACATGGATAGGAAGCAGCTGTGCCCCATTCTTAAATCATAACTCATCCTCATGCTAATTTGCTATTGGTGTGTATGACTCTTCACCAAATTCTGTAACCTTCATTCCCTTCTCCCCTTTTATGTTTTATTGGGTTTGTTGGGCTGGTCCCAACAAATAATTGGTCCCTGGTCCTCATCTCCCACCTGTAGGATTGCACCGCCCCTGTTGTCCTTATCTCACACCTGGCCCTACAGATGCTTCCCAAATGACCTGCCTCCAGTGGGTCTTCACCCTCGCCCTCAGGCCTGACCATCCACCCCTACAGGTTAGCTTTTGCTTCCTTTCTGCATCTCCAGCACCCAGAGCAACCAGACTTAATGTCTGCTGCTGTTTAGCAGGGATTCTCACTTGCGACCAGGCTGGTGTCGGACTCCCTGTCCCAAACTCACTCTCCTGCCTCTGCCTCCCTCAGGCTGTTGATCCAACATGACTGTACCTGTCAGGCTAAGAAGGGTCCCACAACCAGGAAATATTCAGACACAGTGTGAGCCAGTTGAGTCAGGGCGGTCAGGGAGGAGAGGGACTGCCTGCAGAAGAGATCCCAGGGAAGGAAAGCTTTGAAGTGGCTTTGGAAGCTGTAGGGTAAAGAAAATGTCAGGCTTTTCTGCCCTTCCGCCATCAGGATAGATGATGGATCCTTGTCCTGAATGCATGCCTGATGGCGGGCACCTGGAATAGGGTGTGGGCATAGGTAGATGGGATTCAGCTGAGCTAAGACTGTGCTTTTTAAGGGCGGCGTCACGGGGGGGACGCCAGCAGCAGCAGCAGCAGCAGCAGTAGAAGCAGCAGCAGAAGCCGAAAGAGAAGTCGAGAAGCAGCAGAACGAACGCTAGAGAGCCCAGATAGAGTGAAGACTTGCTGGGGGCTGGGAGGCCTGCACCCAGCCAGCACCCCTGCCTGCCATATGCCTGGTGAACCCCAATAAAAGACCTGCAAAACTACTGAGGACTCTGATTCCTCCTTTACCCGGTCTGCATGGGATTAGGAAAACCTGCACTGTGGCCAGTCCAGCCCTTTACAGAAGCGCACACACATGTGCAGTCACATATGCACACACATAGTCGATGTTTACAAAGTCAGCACTTTAGCCGATGCTGATGGCTCTTATCACACAGTCTACAGTGCTGTTTCCAATTAAGTTTTGTCTCATCTTCTCACACTTGCCTGTTGTTACCCTGTCCCTTATGCTTTAGTTTCACGAACAAGATCTTCACTCCTTGGAATACAGGGAGCGTATCTCTCTTCGCCTCTACCTCTCCTGCGTTCTTTGCGGAACTCAGAATAACTGTGTAATAAAACTTGTTGGCTTCATTAATAAGGGCGCAGCAGATGGCAGGTGCCTTTGTAGGTGGACCTTAAACACTTAATCTCTTATCTCCCTACTTTGAACTTAAGTTTCTTGGGAGTTTAGATTTCACAGTAACTGAACAAACTTAAATATCTAATCTTCATGATGCTAGAACTCTGGGACTGCTTCTCTGTGTCGTTTGATATCTTTGTGCTTAAATGTTTGGCTTCTGTGTGAAACACTACATCACTTAAGGCATGTATGTTGCTGTGTGTCTTCTTGAGTTTGAGTTTGAAAGCATTGTCCTTCAGCTGAATGGGGAAATCACTTTCTGAACGGTTTGTCTGAATACTGCATTATAGAGAATGCTTATCAGCATTTACTTAAAAGACTTTCAACCCAAATCTTGCTGAATAGGAAACTGGCTGGGGCGAAGAGAATAGAACTGAGTTCTTGGGAGTCCAGCGCACCTTTTCCTATCAGTCTGTTCCAGACCTTTGCTTTCTCCACCTTTGAACAACTTTTTTTTTTTTTTTTTTTTTTTTGTGGGACCCTTACCGGCTGCCCGGCAACAAACCGGTGCTGCAGAGGCTGCGGGCAGCCTCGCAGCCCAGCGCTCAACCGCTGCGCCACCCACCAGGGGAGGCCCACTTTTGAACAACTTTACAAACCCTTACTCTCATGAGATGATTTTTTCAGTCTTAAGAAGGTTAGGGCTGGGCCTCCCCGGTGGCGCAGCGGTTGAGCGCTGGGTTGCGAAGCTGCCCGCGGCCTCTGCAGCGCCGGTTCGATCCCTGGCTGCTCCCCGGCCACTGGAGGAGGGTCCCACATGGCGCACAGACCTCTCCTGCCGCCCGCTGCTCCCCTCAGCAGTGTACTTCGGTCCTTCTGCCTGCTCTGCTCCCCGCTCTGGCTCTGGTGAATTCTCTCACCCTCCCGCGCTTCTGACTGTACCCAGTGCATGTATAAACAAAAAAACAAACAAACAAATAAATAAATAAAACATGCCTCTATAAAAAAAAAAAAAAAAGAAAAAAAGAAATAAAATAGTATGATATTTAAAAAAAAAAAAAAGGTTAGGGCTGTGAGTGCTTATTATTTTTTTCTCTTATACCTCTGGTTTCTCTTCACTTTCCTTGTCTGTGGGGTAGGGGGGTGGGAGGAGCACAGGAATCTGTTTGGCTTTGGTTTCTGACAGTCATTGGCCTCCCCCCCCCCCCCCGCCCCCGCCCCCCAAGTCTTCCTAACACTCCTTTCACTACTTGGGCCCTTCCCAGCAGTCATTCTCGTGTTGGCAGTTGCTCTTAATCCCACTGTGACACCCCCTTCCCTTCTGCTTGTGATCCACCTGTGTCTCTCAAATTGCCCCCCTGCCCTAGACATCCCTGTCTGCAGACCCACCCTTCTCCATCCTGTGCACCAGGTAGAACACAAAGAATGCTGAATGATTTCCAGAGATTTCAGGGGTTCCTTAACATGTCCAGAATTTAGCCCTAATCTCCTAAAACCATGTCCTTCTACAGGGTCCCCAGACAAGAATTCCTTGTCTCTGCCTTCCTATAGCCCTAATTTTTCCTCTTCTGACCCACTTGGGCAACTTGTTCATGAATCAGTTCTGCTCATGTTTTTCCCTTATGAAGAGCTTCCCATATTCATTCTTGAGAAACTTGACTCAAGTTCTCCTTTCTCCTGAAGCTTTTTCAGAATCCACAGGGCTTAGTTTATAATTGTCTTGGAATTCTGCACAGATCTGCCTTAATGTATGATTTCCTTCATGGTTCCCTAAGTGCTGTCTCAGGTTAACAGGATGGCTAGTGAAGTCTGAGCGATGCCCAGTATATGGGGCCACCATCTGCATGGCCTTTGCCCCCCTGCGTAAGATGTATCCCTGAATCAAGTGCACAGGAAGGAGGGTAGCTTTGATTGGTTTACACCTGTGTTTCCCAAACTAACTTACCTTAGAAAAATTTTTTTTCTTACAAAAAAATGAAACACCCAATGCAAAACATTTTGGGGAGATATTTCCAAAATACTGGAAAAATGACATTTCCTGTAGGCATGTCTAAGTATGTTGAGAACTTCAGACTTCGCTTCTTTTGCTGCCTCCACACTCCTCAGATGCTTAGCGTGTATCGGATGAAGTCACACTGCAAGATCAAGAATTGATATTCCTTTGGAGACCTGAGTTAGGTCTATTTAAAGAAAAGCTGATCTGCTGTGGCTTGTAGCTGCAGTGTGTGGTGGGTTCTTAGTGCTGGGCACTGCTGAGCCATTGCCTGGTGCATTTAAATGGGTATAGTTAAGGAGGAATTTTTCCCAGGTGTTGAATAGGGTGTGCATATTTTCCCAGTGATTGTGTGTGTCTGTGAGTGTTTAAATACTCCAGAAAAGGAAAATTGGGCAAAAGCAACTTGGTTTTGTATTTTCTACCATCTTAAAATCTTTTTGCAATTTTTGTTTTTATCGATAAGAAAATGATGAAAATTTAAACCCAGGTTTATTAAGAAACATAGCGCCAGATAAACTGGTGATAGGTGGTGCTGGTAGTAAGTAGACTACAAAACACAGCATTTAGAAGTAAGGATTTCCACTGGGCTTGTTGATTATGCATGTACGTAAACCTTTATAAGCACAGGTGACACGGGCATGAATACTCAACAAGAGTCTTCCTTGCGGTTCTGATGCAAACCAAGCTGCTTCCCGAAATCAGCAAAAGTTTAGCTAAGCGGGTGCGATGGAATGGAATGGAACCCTTTTCCCAAACTTCCCAGGCCAGGTACAGTTGATTTCTTCGCCAGATGGGAAGAAATCCAGCTTCCTTGGAGTGATGTGCATTTGGTGGGGGATTCACTCTAAGAGTTAACTGCCAGAATTCTGAGTCTCTTGAATTCTATTTAAATTCTTTTTTCTTCTCTCTTCATTTTAGGCTCCAATCAGGGATGGAGACACCATTGGATGTCCTGTCCAGGGCCGCCTCTTTGGTGCATGCTGATGATGAAAAACGTAAGTTGGGCACTTGAGTGCTTTTTCACCTGTGCCTGCACCCCTCGCCTCCCACACTGTAACAAAATGATGTGTTGCTTGACCTGACTTTGTGGCTCTGTGCCATTGATTTTGGGTACTTCCCCCAGAGGTAACAGCTGGGCATCCTTATTTTTATTTTTAAGTGCCAGAACATGTAAGTCTGTAAACATCACCTGTGGGTAGTGAGGCTTGTGCTCTTAACTCCAGGATGTCCTTCCCCTGGCAGCTTGTGCTGGTGGATCCTGAATGCAGGTCCCTGATGTGTCTCTGGAAGTTTAAATAGATATGTCCTGGTGGATAGCAGAAAACTCAAGATAATCATCCAAGAATATTCTTGTTACAGGGAATGTGTAATGGCTGTCATGGAACACATCCCTGAGAACCCATTTCTGCTGAGAGAGAGCAGATGTCGTGCGGGGTGGGGGGAACATAACACTGATGGGGTCACTGACCTTGGAAGGTCACCCCACAGGTATTAGGGTGGTGCTCCTGGCCTTAGTCTTAGGTGTATTTATTTTTCGGTGTTCTCTTTCAAGATTCAAATTGCTTGCAAGAGTGACTATTTTATGTGGGAACAAAATTGAATGTTTTTTCTCTGAGCTCTGAGATACTAGTAACGTATATATAAGGATGAGCTTTTTTTTTTTTTTTTAAATACATTCTAAGTGAAGATGAGCTACTTTTCAGATTTTGAATAATTGGCAGGCAGGAAAGCGTGTACCCTGACGCTGTAAGGCTTCCCTTTCTACTCATCGGTCAGATTCATTTCTCTGATATCCTTTTCCTCCTTAGTTGCATGAAATAACACCTGCTTAGCTGTCTCTGACTCGATAGACTCAGCTTCTGTGTCATCAGCCCATTCCCCCCTTCTCCCTATTCCCCACTGGGCGGGCCGGCTGACTACTGCACTTATTTTTTCTCCTGCCAGTCTTACTTATTTCTTTAGCTTTTGGTTGGTGGGAGGCTGTACTCTTTCCTACGGCAAGCAAATCGCAGGCAGGTTGCCGTCTTCCCAAGGACACTGAGCTCCCAAAAGGCGGCTCAGTCAATGGGCTTTTAACTAAACACCAAAACATTGCCTTTCTGCCTTTAAGATTGCAGTACATGTTATGAGGTGAATAGCTAGATATAAACGCTGTTCAACGTTCATACAGTTAATTTACATAGAAGTTTATATAAATGACAGTATTTCGAATTTCTCTGTTTTGTAATGCTCACGTTTACTTAGATCAGAAAAAGAAAACACTGTTAATACAAATGAAAACTAGAAGGGATGGCCTCCGGGCCAAGTCTCTCTGCTACCTCTGTTGCCTTCTGGGGGGTTTCTCTCTAGGAGCTCAGCTTCAGGGTCCCCCTGTTGGGCTGACCCCAGCAGGTTGGGGGCCTGCGTGGATTCCCACCCGGTGACCCCTTCTGAGTGAGGGGTAAACACAGAAAAACAAGGACCAGTCCCCTGCCTTCAGGGAGCTCTTGAGCTGCTTTGTGAATAGATTCATTTCTCTATAAAACATGGAACAGGAGAGCCTGTGGCCTCCCGGGGAGCCTGCAGTTGGGGAGAGCTGTTTTCATAGAAATAGTATGATCCTGCCCAGAGGAAAGAGGAGCTCTTACCTTCCTTGAGTTGGATGCAGCCTTTAGTATTTTTTTTTTTTAAAGATTTATTTATTTATGTGTGTAAAACTGGGGTGTACGCCAGAGGTGTGAGGGGTGAGGATTCCCCAGAGACAGAGTAGGGAGCAGAACAGGCAGATCTACTAAAATACACCGCTGAGGGGAGCAGCGGGCGAGACAGGAGAGGGCTGCTGCCCCATGTGGTTTAGCTCCCTGACGGGGGATCGAACTCATACTGCAGTGGCTGGAGATAGCTTGATAGCTCTGTGTCTTTAACCCCGGCACTGCCAGGGAGGCCCCAGCGTTTAGTATTTTGAAAATAGGATTTATATACCTGTAAGACCAGAACCATCACAGTCGCCGGGTGCTGTACTTTGTTACCTGGAGACAAAGCTGAGCAGCAAGTACCAAGTCTCTCGTTATTTCTTAAGACCTATCTGGGCTTTTTCAGCCTGATTCAGCTTTCTCTGCCCCAGATGCATTGTGCTTTAGCTTTTGTTATAAATTGCTCTTACACTTAACATTCTCACCAACACTCTAAAAATGTTTTGTGTATGTAATCTGATTTGGATATCTTATTACAAACAGAAAAATGTTCTACTACTTGAGATCAGTTTCCCAACTCATGTCAGTGACCTAAATGACTCTCCTTGTGCTCCTGGAGAATGGGAAATGTGGGCATTTTGGAAGATGTTATTGTTTCAGCGTTTTGAAGGGAACAGAACCTAGTAGGATTTGAGCATATAATCCCCAAGGGCCTTAGGCTTCACTGTGTCTGTAGTGGAGGATAGAAGAGTTATCTCTATAGGACACTGTGGTGCTGCAGTCAATAGTGAAACGTGGTTTTGTAGTCACACAATAGTTACTTATCTGGATGGCCTAGAAGGAATAAACTTGCTTAAAATAATTATTCCTGTGCCCAGGAGACTAGACTGGATCATTGTTCAGGGGAGTCCTGGAAGGTACCTGATGGAAAGATGTGTGAGCTGCTGGTGCTCCTGGGGCTGAGGAACCTCTCATCTCCCTGGTCATTGATGCTGGTTTGGTGAAGACCCAGCCTTTCTCCAAGACTGTTTTTTAACAGTCAAACTGGGCCAGTTTCCGCACAAACCCTTGGTGCATCTTTAACAGGATACTTACTTTTACTGTGATGTTAAAAGGTTTCATTTTTGGTAATTTCGTTCTTGTAGCTTCTGATGAGATCTCCTGCATTGGGGCTGACTTCCTCGTTCAGGTTAAAATCATTTTAAGAGCACTGCCTTGAGAAGGGTCTCAAATGCACCCCACATGCTCATGATTGAGATTACAGACATCTTTGAACTTTTTCCTCTCCTTGGTTTTGAAGGTTTGGGTAGAGGGGGCAGTACTTTCGATCTGGTGTGATGAATGTGCTCGTGATTAGAAAAAGCCAGATGAAGCTGGTGCGAGTGGTGTAGAGAGAAGAGCTAGAAGGCAGCGCTGCAGGTGGTGGTTCCCTGTCCTCCACCCTGGACACGCCTCCTTGGCTTTTTAGTGAAGACCATTGAAAGTTGACTCATGGGGGAGGCATAAATTAACATAATCCTTCCGAATGAAGCATTCCTAGGATTGCTTAGGAAGTTTAGGAATTCTTAAGCCTTTATTTTGCAGACCCAAATGTGTGGGATATTTTTATGGATATAGGAAGCCCATTGTTTAATAATCAGTTGCTGTCACACAGTTTTTTCAGGTTGTTTTTTTTTCCTCCAAGGTCATATTCACCTTTTGTCAGCCTTTGCATCAATAATGCAAACCAGGTGCTTTGTGCTTGGGTTCTGGTGCTTTCACCTGCACTTGGCTCTGCGGGAGTAGGCAGGCGGGCATACTCAGGCTTTTATTTTTTCTCTTTCTTCTCTTTCCTCCCAGCATCTGATACAGTGGCTTTCAGAGTAGACCATGGCACAGAGTGAAAGCGTATTGAAACCGTTGGGTTCATGTAGCAAAGCAACTGATACCAAAGCTTCATGAAGCAGCACTTATCCAGCTTTGCAAAGTGTAACTTGATATGCTGGCATTATTCTTTGTATTTTACTTCATCTAAGTAACAGTTGGGTCATGACTCATTGGCTTGATTTTAGGATCCACAAATGAATCAGGACTTGCAGTAGAAACAGAAAATGATGATTTGCTTCTCTTCTCCTTAGTTGGATAAATTTACTCCTGGCTGCTGCATTTATGGGCTAGGGGGATTTGACTAACATGTGGGTCATGAAAATACAGTGGTGTTCAGACCTGCTGGGATGTGTCAGTGACTGGAGAGGAATGATGTCATACTATTCTCTCACAGAAGCTCCCCACTCTCCAGCACCCACCCACTAGAGGTGGCTCCACTCCATTCTGAGCCTGTGTTGTTCATTCCTGGTAGTTAGAGTCAGAGCTCAAGAAAACGGTCTCTCCACCTTGTGTTAAATCTGTTTAGCTTCCAGGTTACTTCAAGGGTGCTCCTAGCTGTACCATACTTGTGTCCAGTCCTGCCTGGCAGAGCTGAATGACAGGACTGAGTGATCTCACCATCGGTGGCCTTATTTTATGGCTTCCATCATTGTATTCGTGATTTTTATCCTTTATCCTAAAACACTCAAGAGGGATACTGTGCATTTCCAACCATGCCCGAGGCATGGATGTGGCAGCAGTTCCCAAAGAGAGGAGGAACTGGTAAGCATGCTGAGAACATTGTCCCAGGTGATGCAGATGGTGGTGGTGGTGGGGGAGGTCCCTTCCTCCAGATGAGTCACTGGTCTGGGTCTGCATCTGTCTCTGAGGAGGGGCTGGGTCCTTTCAGGTATGAGAAACTAAGTCCTTGGCTGTTGTGTATCCTTTAACCAGATTCATAAGTTGTTTATTTTCTTCCCATTTCTCTTATCATTCATTTTCTCCCCCATATATATTTATGTAAAACACATATATGTGTGTATGTGTGAACAAATGTGTTTTGTTTTCCCTAAAACATTTGAGAGTAAGAAAGAGACATTCTGCTTCTTGACTCCTAAAATGTTTGGGCATGTATTTCCTACAAATGAGAAATTCTTACATAATCACAATATGGTTATATTTAGTATATATAAATATATAGACACATAAAGCTGGGCATAAAATCTTGATGCTCATAGTTCTTTTGCAACTTCATAGCCAGAACGTGAGCCTGTAATTGAAGTTTCACCAGTAGAAGTTAGCCAGGACATGCACTGTGACCCTGCCACACCTGCCTGCAGGTGAGCAACGTGGCTTCAGTTCTCCTGCTGCCCCATGTCCTTTGATGCAGCCCTCTCCCCACCCTTTTATCTTTGCAAACTCTGTAAAATAATTTGTTGTACAGACTAGGGTGGCATATGTTGGTGCGGATGTCTCAATCACATATTAGATTGGTTTCTGTCCTTTTCTCATTAGAGGGAAAAAATGCAAACACAGTCATTGAAATCAAATGCCAGTGCTTGGCTATGCAGTAGGCATCTGATTCAAGTTTTTAAAAAAGATTCTCTTTGAAATTGTTACAGGGCAGGGAGAGGGGCAGCCCAGACCCGGCAAACCTGCCTATTCTAAATGGGTTCCGTCATCCGCCGCATCAACACAAAACATGAGACTTTTATGAGAAGGAACTTTAATACAATTAGGGAACAATACAGGAAAGGCAAAGAATATAGTTTCTAAATCAAGTACCCCAAGTTACCCATCCCCTTGTGAGTAAAAATCTATCCAAATGGGATTGGCCCAGAGCAAGGCCCCAAAGCCTGTCACAAGTCTAAAGCATCTTCCAGTGGGGACCCACAGAAAAGGATCAGAAACAACCAGACAAGCCCAGAAGGAAACGAGCAAAATCAAAATCAAGATAAAAGCTGCCATTGTCACCTCCCCACGGGTCTCTCACCCACATCTGTGTCACCCAGTCCACCACCAAAAGGCAAGCGCATTTTCTTCACATGTCTGTCAGCTCCACGTGCCTCCTCCAGGTGTCCTTCTGGCTCCATCCTGCTTCCTTCTTTCCTCAGTCTCCTCTGCAGCTTCTTCTCTTCCTGCTCAGCTCCACCCTCCCTTGGGTGGGGCAGGGAACCTGAAACCTCCCCCTTTCCTGGGGACCACCCTGTTACAAAATGAGTGACATTTCTTGAGACTCCTGAGCACCGAACTGTGCAGCTCAGTGGGACGCTTGTTGCAGTACCTTGTGTTCTTACAGCAGCCCGGTTAAGTAGGTATTGTAATCAGTTCCACTACAGAAGAGGAAACCCTGGGCTACAGAGCTTAAATCATTTGCCCAAGGACACTAAGCGTTTCATGGGATGAGCTCAAGCAGCCAGACTCTGGAGCCTGAACCCTTAATTTCCCAGCCTCATGTCTTTTCAGGGAGCACATGTAAGACTTGACTGCTAATGAAAATCAAAACCAAAACCCCTACTCCTGTAGCTACGACCTCCAGTAATAAGTCAGCTGAGAGATTTTCATTTGGAAAATGAAGGAACATTTCCAAAACATCAAGTAATTCTGTTAGTGTCCAGAGTGAGGGGCACCCTGGGCCCCCCAAACCTGCACGCTCTAAATGTGCCCTTCCATCTGCCGCGTAAAGACAAAGCATTCTCTTAGTGTGAAAGGACTTTAATAGCATTAGTGCACATAGAGAAGAAAGGCTAATAATATTCCAGTAAAACACCCCAAGTTACCCATCCCCTGGTGGGTAAATGTCCAAACAGGGTTGACCCAAAGCAGGGCCACTGAGGCCTGAAAGCTGCCACAGTCTAAGGCACCTTCTGGTGGGGACCCATGTAGGGAAGGGCCAAAGGGGCCAGTCAAGTCTGGAAGGAAAGGAGCACAATCAAAATACAAATGGGGTAACAGCTGCCGTTGTCAGCCTCCCCACAGGCCTCTCACCCTGTCTTTTCCAAGTGTCTCTGTACATCTATACTCCACGTGGCTCCTTCCATGTCCCCTATGTCCTTCCATGTCCCTGGTGCAAGTCCAAAGTGGGACTTCTTCACATGTCTCTGCTCCACATGTCTCCTCCCAGTCATCTTCTAAGACTTCTGGTTCTCCTCCCGCTCAGCTCCACCCCTCCTCAGGTGGGGCCCAGAGCATGGAGGCCCCCACTCCCCCCCCCTTCATGGAGTTACAGCTGCGCTCAGCCCATCATTTAGGGCGGTTATTGACACATACCAGGAACTACCTGTCTGCTTTCTCACCTGTGTCCAGGGATCTTCTCTTTATACTGAGTGTTCTTTCCCTGGATGTCTCCCAGTGACACAAGGAGAGGAGCTCTGGCTCACAAGGGCTGCATCATCAAGTGCCCATCCCTCAGTACCCTGAGGTTCAAGTAGGGACCAGCTGGCCAAGCTTAGAGGCCTTGTGGGAGGAGTTGGCGTGGTTAGGTGGCTGGACTTGACCTAAGATTCTATTGCTATAGGGCAGCCCCGATACAAAATGGGTTGCCTGACTGTGGTCCTCACCCGTGCACGTTGGACCCTAGACCTGTTCAGGGCAAGTCATGGTCCACATTGCTTTGCATCCCAGGCATATGCCATTCGGAGCATATGGCTGGCCTTTAGTAACCATCTGTTAGTAATAAAATAACGGCAGGAGTGAAAGGTTCAACTCTAAGGAATTTATTTAACGCTAGCAAAAATGACTCATTCTAATTATCAGTAACTATAGCTGTTATAGAGCAACCCCGATATTAAAACGGGTTCCTGGCTGTGGGTCCTCACCCGCGCGCTTTAAAGGGACTTATGAAAACTCTACTACACACACACACACAAAAGGTTAATAAAAGGTTCATTTACAAGAGAAAAGGAAATAAGGAAAATGTACAACTCAGGGAAAAAAATAGGGAAATAAGTCTTTAATGCGTCCTACCCAATCCGACGACCTGGAAACCCAAAGTCACTCTCAGAGCTGGCCGGACGCTGCGAGCTGGCCGAGAGCCAAAATAGGGGAGCCCCAAAGCCCACGTGTCTGCCTTTATATCCACCTGGCTGCTTAACCCCACCCTCAGGTCCCAGCCACCTTCCTTTGGTGATGATGGGATTTGGAGTTCCCAGTGTCTTTGACTTTGACCTAGGGTGGGGGTGGAGTCCACAAAGCCTATATGGAATTAGCTTTGGGACATCCTTTTCCCCCTAACATTACTACTATTCATGTACGATTTCAAAGGAGGACCGTATCCCTCATGGTAATACTTCATAGTTTGTAAAACCTTTTCCTGATGCTTATAACAGGAACCTTTGCAATGGACTGAGCTGGAGTGTAGGGTAAAGAAAATGTCAGGCTTTTCTGCCCTTCCGCCATCAGGATAGATGATGGATCCTTGTCCTGAATGCATGCCTGATGGCAGGCACCTGGAGCAGGGTATGGGCATAGGTAGATGGGATTCAGCTGAGCTAAGACTGTGCTTTTTAAGGGCGGCGTCACAGGGATACCAGCAGCAGTAGCAGCAGCAGCAGCAGCAGTAGCAGCAGCAGCAGCAGCAGCAGCAGCAGCAGCAGCAGCAGTAGCAGCAGCAGTAGCAGCAGCAGCAGCAGTAGAGGCCGAAGCAGAAGCCGAAGCAGAAGCCGAAAGAGAAGCCGAGAAGCAGCAGAAAGAACGCCAGAGAGCCCAGATAGAGTGAAGACTTGCTGGGAGGCCTGCCAGCCTCCCAGCCCCCCAGCCAGCACCCTTGCCTGCCATATGCCTGGTGAACCCCAATAAAGGATCTGCAAAACTACTGAGGACTCTAACTCCTCCTTTACCCGGTCTGCATGGGATCAGAAAACCTGCACTGTGGTCCATTCCTGCTCTTTACAGGCAGGCATCAGAGAAAGAAATGAGGCTTGAAGAAGTTGGATGCCTAATTCAAGATTAAAGTTAAAAAAAGCTTCAGGTGCCCCTTCTCCCCCAGCCCCCCATCACTGGCTGTAATCCTCAGAATTCCTGGAATGACTGGGCAGCCGCCATAGTCCACCAGTGCAGACAACTCCTGGGAGGAAGTCAGGAGCTCTTGCAGAGCTATCTTCTCAGACCCCAGGTTACCAGCTGCCTTTTGATTTGCAAAATGAGGGCTGAATTTACTGCCCTTTCTAAAGGTCGGGGTCACTAGTAGTATTTATACTTTCAGGTATTTCCCTTTTGTGAACAATGGCCTTGAATATTCTCTCCCCCTAGCCTATTTTACCTTTAAAAAGCTTCATGAAAACGTAAATCCTCAGGTGGGGCCAGTTTTGCCAGCTTACCTAAGACCCTTTCCAGGTGTGGCCAGCTGCTTTAGTCAAAGGTTGCCTCCCTAGGTAGACCCTAGCATTTAATCAGAAGGGGCGCCCTTCCATAGAGAACTACTATAAATGTCTCTGCTATTTTAATAGGTTTCTATTAAATAAAATTAGCATAATAAATGTTAGAAGTGAAAACAATGAAAACAATGGCTTGTTAATTAGCATAATGGATATTCAAAATAGATTCTTCCACTGAATGGCTCTTAGACTCTTGAGGATGGCTTGTGATATTTCCTTTAAATGAATATTTCTCAATCTTTAGAAAAAGCTGTGCTTTTCCTTAACACCCATGAAAATGTTGTGAGCTATTTTAATGTCATTTGCAATTGAATTTACAATATCAGATTTAAGAATCTTCGGATCAAGTTTTCCCCCCCTTTTGGTACATGTCTTCTAATGTCCCCAGCGTGCTCCTGTCTCCCCAGCCCCTCCCAGCACCCTCAGAATCATGGTCTTGTTCAGTGTCTTGTGCGAACATCCCCAGTACAGTAAATCTTCACTCAATGTATAGAGGGTCTTGGAAACCAAGACTTTTAAGTGAGGCAGGGTAATGAATGCAGATCCTTGACAAATGTCATTTCTTTAAACGTTGATTGGTATTGTTTTCTTCTCATCAACGTTATGGTAAAACAATGTTTTCAAGAACCTGCCTTACAGCTGTACATACCAACCATCTTTGTTGGAGATGTGTTCTCAGCTCATCCTTTGAAGTCACTCTTTTCCCCACAAACCATGGCTGATCACTGTCTCTCCTATAACATGGAACATTCAGGTCTGAACAATGATTGCTGTGTGACCTGTTTTTGTACAGTGTCCTCAGAACCACCACCAACTTCAGTCTAGTTCAGGAGTTGTAGGAGTGAAGGTCTTATAGGGCAACCCTGATATAAAACGGGTTGCGGACTCCACCCCCCCTAACAAAGGGACTGAAGGACGTGGGTCAGATTGGTGACCTGTGCCCCAAGCAGCCAAGTGTAAGACTCAGGGAGCAGTGGGGAACCTGTTCAGCCAGGCAGCCACCAGCACCGGCTCCTGAGAGCTGAGGGTGTGTATTTTCCACTGGACGGCTTGTTGGGAACATCGGGTCAACTATAGCAGAGTGTTTACACCTTGCAAAGCTCTTCTGGTTTTCAGGGTTCTTTCGATTCTCCCTCATCATAGGGCCTGTTGTTACCATTCACCAGCAAACACTGGCTCAAGCTGACTGCTTTTACATGGACATATAAATGTCAGACTTCCTACAAACAGAAACCTGGATTTTTAGGTAAAATCTCTAGATTTTTAAATTCCACATAAACTAAACAATAGTTCCTATTAAAGTGTTAGGGGGAAAAGGATGTCCTAAAGCTAATTCCATACAGGCTTTGTGGACTCCACCCCCACCCCAGGCCAAAGCCAAAGACACTGGGAACTCCAAATCCCATATCCACCAGAGGGAAGGTGGCTGGGACCTGAGGGTGGGGTAAGCAGCCAGGCTGGTATAAAGCCAGACATGTGAGCTTTGGAGGGGTCCCCCATTTTGACTCTCCACCAGTAGCAGCATCCGGCCAGCTCGGAGAGTGCTTTTTGGGTTTCCAGGTCGGTGGATCGGGTAGGACGCATTGAAGACTTTATTTCCGTATTTTCTCCCTGAGTTGTACATTTTCCTTATTTCCTTTTCCCTTGTAAATAAACCTTTTATTAACCTTTTGTATATGCCTGTAGTGGAGTATTCATAAGTCCCTTGTAAGCGCGCGGGTGAGGACCCACAGCCAGGCAACCCGTACATTATCGGGGCTGCCCTATAATAGAAGTATCTATCATTGGCCTCCCTGGTGGCGCAAGTGGTTGCATCACAGCACAATGAAGCTGTCCGCAGCCACTGCAGCATGGCACAGTTCGATCCCTGGCCAGGGAGCTACCCACATGGAGCAGCAGACCTCTCCTGTCTTGCCCGCTGCTCCCCTCGGTAGTGTATTTGGTCCTTCTGCCTGTTCTGCTCCTGCTCTGTCTCTGGTGAATTCTCTCACCCTCCCTCTCTCTGGCCTGTACCCCAGCTCTTGTATAATAAATAAATTAATCTTTTAAGAAAAGGAAAAAAAAAAAAGAAGTATCCAGCATATGCTTAGTACTTCTGTTGTAGAGCAACCCCGATACAAAACGGGGTGCCTGACTGTGGGTCCTCACCCGCGCGCTTAAAAGGACTTATCAATGCTCTACTGCAGGCACACGTGAAAGGTTAATAAAAGGTTTATTTACAAGGGAAAGGGAAATGAGGAAATGTACAGCTCTGGGAGAAAAGTGGGAGACAAAGTTTTAAATGAGTCCTACCCGATCCGCCGATCAGGAATCCCAAAATGGCGCTCTGAGAGCTGGCCGCCAGCCAGGAGCGGTGAAGCCAGGAGGCGAGCGATCGCGAGCCAGAGAGAGAGCAAGGCCCACGTGTTTGGTTTTTATATCCAACCTGGCTGCCCAACTCCACCCTCAGGTCCCAGCCACCCTCCCTTGGTGGTGATGGGATTTGTCTTTCCCAATGTCCTGATGGCTTTAGTCTGGAGTGGGGGTGGAGTCCACAAAGCCTGTATGAGATTATCTCAGGACATCCTTTCCCCCTAACAATTCCCCCCTTTCACTTTTTGCCACCATTTCCATGGTGATGAAGATCAAACATATGGATTCTGGGATACAGTCTCAGATGAAAATTTTCCAGGGTTCCAGTCTGAAAGAAAACGAATCCCTCCAGGTAGTGTCCATTGTGGAAAGCAAAAGTCCTCCATTCCTGGAAAAACAGTTCATCAGTCCCAGCCGAAAGAAAACATCTGGAGGCATTAGCCAGAACAAGACAGCAGATATGTCAAAAATCACAGGAAAAAAAAATCTTAAAATGGTTCAACTTATGTAAAGACAAATTCTCTCAACCTTGATCCCAAATTTTTTAAACAGCATAGCAAAAGTTTGCAAACCAAATCTACTTTTAAACCATATTGCCTATTTTTGCATAAAATCACAGGGCAGAATAACTAAGCAGCAATTTTTAGCTGGCTCCGTTGGAATACTCCATATAGGATTCAGAGCGAACTGTTGACATCCGGTCCGTGTAGGCTTCTGAAGAAGTTGGTCTCATCAGACTCCACCTGGGCTTTCCTCTTCTCGAGGGTACCAGGGACTTTTCGTTGGCCGGGTTGTCCAGTCCTGCCAATGGAGGCAAGCTTCCTCACCTTCTTTGGAGGTCTCTGGAACCCTACAAACAAGGCAAACAGGTTCTCCTCTTCTTGGTTCAGCTCTGTTTCAACTTTCTGGAAGAGCTCCACACAAAGCCACACAATGAAACTTATGTCCAATTTTTTTCAGTTTAAACAAAATCCCTATGGAAGTTATGCAAAAACAGACTCTGAGATAAGTAGTAAAAGATTACTACCACTATTTTTATGCCGTGTTGGTATCAAGGGGAGAGAAAATGCAAACACAAGTTAGCTTTGTTGGAAAAAAAAATTACAACCTTGCTGCAGATCCTGGTCACCAAAACAAGAAAACTTTGTGGATTTAGAGCAAAATGCAAAAAAATCATCAGTATTATTATGTCAAGGAAAACTTAGTAAATATGAGGTGTATTTCCAAGTCTATTCAGTCCTTAGTAGAAAAGTTTTACTCTCAACAGTTCCATCAATAGGAATCTGTTGAGACCTTTTCTCCCTATATTTTCAGAAACAATTTCTGTAGATGTGAAACAATTGAATTATAATATTACAAGGTGACAATCACCATTGACAATTTACATACATACCAGATACTACTGTTAACATTTTGTACATACCAAAGTTTTACCATTTTCCCAAGTGACAATGCTTCCCTTCCAGTTTTACTTCATTAGGTAAAATCCAAATAGAACAAATTCATCTAATGCCTTTCCCAGGAGGAAAGGGAGAAACTTTGTGGAGTGTCTCAGGAGCTCTACTGAGGTTCCACAAAATTTCCTTGCATCAGCCAAATGACAGGCTACCAAATTTGTACTTGAATTTAGATTTCTGGGAAGCTTTGCCATAAATATCAGAAAAATAACAGAAACAACAATGTTCAATCTCTATGAAGGCACCGGCTTAGTTCAGTAGCACAATGTTGACAATCAAACCATAACCTTTAGTTTTTCTCATAACTGGAGACTCTTTTTTTTTTTTTTCAACGTCTATGGGCACCATG